ACTCACTCATAAGTACTCAGGTGAGTACTCAGTGAGTAAAAAAATGTATGAGTACGTATGAGTACTCGTCCGGTTTTTCTAGCAGAGTACTTTTTGAGTACTCGCACTTGAGTACATTCACTAGGGTTGTTTACACTCATTTTGAAGTGGAGAAAATTTCCCATCGTCCTGCATGTCGTTTCTGTCAGCTTCGTTAAACCTATAGAAAAAGGACAAGGAACACAGCAGATGACCTCCAGTGAACTGATGAGATGTGTAAGTATTTTTTCTTCACGGGCGACTCAAAGCACTTTGTGGAAATTAAACGCGTATAGACATAAATAGCTTCAACAGAAATGATCTGATGAATGACAGCTAATAGATACTTGATCTTCATTACACTGTCAAAAACAAGTGTCTTGATAAATCACTCGGCTGGCTTATAAATGCTTCCACAGTGCCTTTTGAAGGCACGTTAGGTGCATTTTCTCATCTTTTTACTGTTACGCGCTTTAAGGTCTTCGAAAAAAACACTTCTAAGTCGCTACTTTTTTGGAAAAAAATAGCTTAGGTGCATTTGATAGACATCACTAATATATCAAAAACGCACAATGCACTAGCTACAGTCAAGATCCTTAATCACCCATCAGCCATGGATAAATCACGTAGTCATATTTAAAGCATTGAAAACGTTACGAGACCCTGGTTAGACACTGAGGCATACTGTTGCTACTCAATATATTTCTAACAGAAACAAAGCGATAGATAAAAGTGCTTTAGCTGCATTGTTTCTTCGACAACTATAGTGACTGTTGTGCTCTCGAACAGGCGATAGTGAAAGAACAGTAGCGAAACTGGACGATACACCAGGATATCCGAGCGACAAGCCAGCACATCCAAAGGCAGAGACAGTTTCGAAGACAATTTTGAAGACAGTTATGTTCGAATCGATGGCAATACGTTGATATTCGATAGCACAGATAAGGAAGATGAAGATGAAAAGCCAGGTGCGAGTGCATCCGAGAGTGTGCATGGTATGTTTGAAAATGACCTGGGTAAATTTAAGAAGAAAGAGACGGAAATGCAACTGGGATGCATGTAGATGCTTTTGCTGGTCATCTCCGGAGTTGTTTGCCGTGCGCACCAGCTCTTTTGTTGCCAACCGTTGACGGTTTAAGTAGTGGCTCACGCGACTCTTTGCAAAACCTGCCGAAGATGTTTGTCTACGAAGTGCTGGAACATTATCGGCTGAGTTCATGGCTGGAGAACCTTGCTGATGTTCTTCTTCTCTTCCTTTCTGATTCACTCGTAGAGAAATCCAAATGAGTTCGAAATGTGATTGGTATTTTGGTTGTTCCTTTTCTTTTTCTTTTTTTTTTGGTTCTTATCTTTGGCATGTAGTACACCACGTGGTAATGGTAATATTTGAGATGATCGACGAAATCTGCCTTCTACTCTCGATGTGGAATTAGTTGAATTACTGTCATTATTGACGGACAGGAGTTTCGGTGAGGCAGTAGTAGTAGTCGTAGGAGGTGATGGCTGATCAACACCCGGGCAGAATCTTCCATTGTAATCGATGATCGGACATAGATCTCTACGTGCTGTTCTTAAACCCGATAGAAATGGATTTACAACTGCTGCTCGTTTCTTTCGTTCTTCTTCATTCATACCTGGAATTAGGTCTGTATCTTCATTACTTCGACGTTTATGGCGGCCAGTACTGCTCAATTGTTGTAAAGTTGGTACTATACCATGTTCAAGATAATAATCAATGGTTAGTTGTAAATGTTGACGGATTTCGAGTGGGTATTCGAACAATAAATCAGTTATAGGTGTTAGTGTACGATTAACGACAGCCGGTGTTAATGCCGTTTTATTCAACCAAATATCCCATTCAAAATTTTTTGTTGATGGTGTTGTTATTACAGCCGGTACAAACTTAATTTCCAGTTGAGTATTTTGTGAAATCGATGTGCAGCTTCGTTCCTCTTGGTATTTGCTGTTAACCTGTGTGTACATTTCAATAACACCACCGACAATAATCGACGATGCATAATGCGTGCCAAACGCTGTAACCAACTGATTATAATACAGCTGGTGTGCTTCAGTTCAACTATTTTCGAAAGAGTGCGATTGAATACAGGGTCGAGCCTAGTAAAGTTATGCAAACGCTTCGTATTACTAACACTTCCTTCACAGATATATCATTAAACACTCCCGACAACTGCGGTGATGACTGTCTGACTAAATGCTGTGTGAAGTAGTCCGTGAAATTAGCCAATTTTCATCACCTGCACTACTCTGACCGACACTCTCTACTTCTCCAGCAAATCATTAATTTAACAGCGATCGGCCGGTCATCGATCGCAAGTCAACTTTTGCGCCTCAGGCGCGGCGAGATCGCGCTGTCGCTATCGTGATCGCTATTAAGTCCCGCATATCGCGGCGCGATCGCTAAAAAATCTTGTATTCCCATCGCGATCGCGCTGGACTCTTAAACTCGCGCCGTGATCTTGGCCCAATCTTATTTTAAAAAAAGTCTGTTTCTAAGATTCGCTAAGATTACTGTCGCTATCTCGCGGCGCGATCGCTATAGATTCGCGATTTCGCGACAGAACTTGAAAAGTTATAAATTTTCAAAAAACCAAGTCAATATTGCTTAGCGCGATCACTATCCTATCGCTGTATCGCGGTACGATTCGTGATATGGTGAGTCGAGCCGAGATAATCGCAGATATATAAACAGTAGTATTTGCGTAGTCGCGTCGTTTTCCATGTGGAAGTTCGTTTTCAAACTAAAACGCACCTTCGAAAAAACTCCTCATATGTATATGATACAGTTTCAACACTAATTGTACTTTTCATATTTATATTTGTTACTTGTACAACTGATGGTGTGGCAAATGTTTGTTCAGGCCGTTTGCTTCCAATTCAAATGGATAGCCATCGCGATTACTAACCAAATCGAATAAACGAAATCTTGAACGATCTGATGTAGGCATGCACCAAACCGATAGTTCGGTGACCGAACGGTTCGAAACCGAACATGTTCGCTGCCGATCAGCGAGACCTAGCTCGGGATGGTTGCATGCCTGATCTGGACTAAAGGTAAATTGAATGAAATTGAAGCTTTTGAAGGAACTAACCAGTGAGAAAAATAGACTAAAGTACAATGTGAGCGAATGTGTCTTCTACTGAATCGCTACCAAAGGTTTAAAAGAAATAGTTTGTCAAAGCTAAAAACATGAGAACGAAGAACACATGAAAGAAATCTTTGTAAAACAAAAAATGATGAAGATTACACCAAACGGAGGAGCAGCTTTGATTACGCCGTAGCCGTTGCTAGTCATGTAAAGAAAAGTTTGAATCAGAGCAGCAAATTTATGTTTACTCTATTCCAGGAAGTCGAAAGTATCTTTAGTTTCCATTATATCTGATTTACTCTCTAATTACTTACTAACGTGTCCTCTGTATAGCAGATTGATTTACTTTGTTTTCATGCAAAAATGGTTTTTCTACAGAAAAAAGTAGACAGACAGTTGCAGCTCTAATTTAAATGTATCTTTATAAGGTTTATGGTCACCATACAAAGCACCATAATATGGTGCTTTGTCCTAATAGTTTGTCAGCAGAGCGCTCGTCGATGTCTCTGATGAGAAAAATATAAATTATCGTATTTACAATTTTCGTCCGAACACGTTCGATAGCGATCCGGCAGAAGACACATTCGCTCACATTGTGCTTTAGTTAATCTATTTTCTCGCTAGTTACTTCCTTCAAAAGCTTCAGTTTCATTCCATTTGCCTTTAGCCCAGATCAGGCATGCAACCATCCCAAGCTAGGGCTCGCTGATCGGCAGCGAACATGTTCGGTATCAAACCGTTTGGTGACCGCTCATGTTCGGTTGCGAACGGTTTGGTGACCGAACATGTTCGGTAACAAACCGTTCGGTGCCGATCAGCGATTCCTAGTTTGGGATTGTTGCATGCCTAATCTGATGCTTCAACTTCTTCATTGCTTGATATCATTTTTTAAAGCGTCTAAACCAACTGCAACCCTAGAGATCAAATCTTATATAAGATTCCTATAGGAATCTTACAGAATATCTGCAAGAATCTTATAAGGCAGTCGATGAAAATGCGTAATTTATGTATAAGAATCTTATATAAGAAACTGATAAGATTTCTATAAGATTCTGATAAGAATCTTATATTAAGGATATAGTACGATTTCATCACGTTCTTTAGTGGTCAGTACTCTAT